GTTATTGATGTTACCATGGCTTTAGACACACTCTCGCTGCCTGTTCTTGAGCCACTGACCCCTGCGAGGCTGCAAGATGTGACTGTATTGGCCCTGAGCTGCCTGTATGCAGGTCAGTCTGAGAAAGAATAAAGCAACTTCCCATGCTGGTTACCATGAGGTCTCATTTGCAGGGTGAATGCTTATTTTAAATGCTGTTATTCATAGGAAATGAAATTTGGGATTTATACAGACTTTGACAAACTTAATCCTGACTTTATTTACTTATTTCTTTCATTCATTCATTCATTGGATATGGCTGTTGCAACCAGGCCTGCATTTGTTGCCCATCCCTAATTGCCAAGAGGACTGTTAAGAATCAACCACGTTGTTGTGTTTCTGGAGTCGTATACAAGTCATATGAGGTTAGGTTGGCTAATCCCCTTCCCTAAGGGACATTAGTGAACCAAATGTTGTTTCATGACAATCAACAGTTAGGTAGTTGCCATTAGGCTAGTTTGTCTTTGAATTTTTTTTTAATCGAATTCCGATCTCACCATTAACCATGGTGGGATTTTGAACCCATGTTGCCTAGAGTTGTGGATTACGAAGCAAGTGATAAATTCACAATGCTACCATTTCCACACTTGTCATTTCCATCTTGTGGACTGTTTTAGTAGATGATTATTAAACATTACTACCATCTTGATAACTTGCAGATCATTTTTGTTCACTTGTCAGTTGAGTTTACCACTTTTGTATTCATAGTCGGTCAATGTTACCATGTCATGTGTCCAGTACAATAATCTTTTGTTAGAGTTGCTAATCTGTTTTTCCAGCACAGACAAATGAAACCTCACTTCAAACAGTAAACAGTTGCCTTCGGGAGATGGTATCAAATCTAAATTTTAGGTATGACAATGTTAGTCAGATGACTAAATCCCAGTGTTCCCTTTCACCAGGAGTAAGTGTTGCAACATGCATGGCTATTCTACATGTGGGTAGCAGCCTGCAAGTACGATCTGGGTCCACCAGTAAGGAAGAAGACTATGAGAGTGATGCAGCCACAATTGTACAGAAATGTGTAAGTACTGAATAAGTGGGTTAGGGGTTTTGTTGAATTTGGCCTATTTTGGTTGACCTTTCTCATTGGAAGGAAAATGTATTCGTTTCATCAAATTATTTCCTATCAGGGCCAAATGATCTTCATTCAGTCTAATCCAACCTGACCTGGCGTGCATCTTGAACTGACACTGTCTCCTGCCATTTCTCTGCCCCATATCCTACCATAGATATCCCATGTCCTATCATAGAATCACTGTAGATATGAGGCTGGGTTTAAAGTTATTCGTAGTTATTTTTAATCAACCTGTTCAGAAATGTCATTAAACACCACCAGGTGGTGGGATTTGAACCCAAGTGTCTCGGTTCAGAGGTTAGGGACATTACCACCGCTACACAAGAGCCCTCCCGTACTTATGTTTATTGTTTGAGAACATTACTAAATTTAATGTACTATTCATCATTTACAGCTGGAAATCTATGACATGATTGGCCAAGCAATTAACAGCTCACGACGTGCAGGTGGTGAGGTAAGGATTCAATATGGTGTTCTACTGAGCAAATAGATAAAAAAGTTGTTGAATTTACAAAACCTTTGCTGTAGGAAAGTTGGAAGTTGTTTTGCAGTTCATGCGTAGAAAACATTGGCTGTATATTCTGTGGATGAATGTGATGTGAAATTGCTGCATATGATCTAGATTGTTATTTCCTGAGTTTGTAACATCTGTGTGTCACCTACTAAGAATAACTCTGAACTGTGTTAGGAATGTGTTTGACTCCATAGGCCCCAAATCCAGTGTGGTTCTTAAAAGCTTTATTTTTGTAATTTAGTGAAACCAGCAAGACAAGTCCTCATTCTGAGAATGTTTTGGTACCTTGTGGTAAATTTTGCTTCCTTGATGCTGTTAGGTAGAGAATGGCTGGATATTTGCTAATTAGCAATGAAAGACAATACATCTTGGTTTAGGATGATGTGTAACTTGGAGGTATTTATTCTTTCATGGGACACTTATTCGCAAGGCCAACATTTGTTGCCCACCCCTCATTAGCCTTGAACTGAAGGGGTTGCTAGGCCATTTCAGAGGACAGATTGAATCGACCACGTTATTGTGGGTCTAGAGTTAAATGTAGGCCATGTCCTGGGTATGGACAACAGATTTCCTTTCATAAAGAATGTTGAACTTTAGATGGTGTATTAATCATTGCTGTTCTTGTCCTTCTCAGTGATATGAATCAGAGTAGGTAGGAATTGCTGAAGTCCTCTTCATAGATTACGGCTGTTAAATCTCTGAGTTCATTGTAGTTACACAGCTGGAGCAGGTAGAAATCAAATTACAGCAACAATTGAATTGCTTCATCTTGAGTGGTGTAAGTCTACTTGAATGTTGCATCTAGAAAAGTTGAGTACCCGGCTCCAGTTTTGGTCCTTGTAGATGCTGGAGATGCTTTGATATATCTGGACATGAACAAGACATCAGCATATACTAGCCTCTGTTCGTATAGCTTATTTGGTATTGATATAGTTAATCCCAAGTTAAGGTATTGATTGTTTGGGGCTCAGCAATGATAGCCATGGCTTAATGACTGGGCTTTCTCTTATTCAAGATGATGATTGCACATAATTAAAAATTTAGTATATCTATATAAAATACATATATTTACAGGCAATTATAATTAAATGCCACATTTTGCTTGATATTTGTCAGCAAAAGTCTGAAACGTATCTGCAGCTAGCATAGCTGCTTCATTTTTGGAGGAGTTGGCTAATGGAGCTGAACATTGTGTCATATTTATAGCAGACAGGAAGAGAGAGTTTAGGAAGAGAACGTTGTTGATGCATTTGGCAAAGGTGGTTGCGTTGAGGTTACTCCTTTGTAAATTTCGTATAGTGATGCCCTTAGGCTGTAATGTTTGGCCTCCAACAGCTACACCATCTTCCTTTGCTTCTGGTACAACACCCTGCTCCCCAACTCAAGGCCAGGCATTTAGCTCTTGTATCCATGACTGGAAGTAAAGCTGCATTGAGATTTGGACATCAGTGGTTCTAGCCAATTCCAAATTGCTCACCTGGTTGTTTTGTGAAAATACGATGCTTGATGGCACTATCGACAAGTCTTTCCATCACTGTTAATAATATGACAGTTATTGATTTGGTTAAATTTAGCATGTTTTTCTGTGGAAATGGCATACTGCGGAATTTTTCACATACGTGTGGAGGTGTCAGTGTCATACTTGTATTCATGCAGTTTGGCTATGGAAATTGAGTGTTCTGTCATGTACGGCTTTAACACAACAGTTTAAATATTAGCACGACAAAAGCTTTTACTGTGTCCAGTGTGGAAAGTCACTTCACTGTTATGTAGAGTGACCTGGCAAAAATGGTCGAGTTGAAGTTACTCCTTTGTAAGTTACCTATAGTGATGCCCTTAGGCTGTAACGTTTGGCCTCCAACAGCTACACTATCTTCCTTTGCTTCCGGTTTTGTGATTCTTAAGGACATCGTAGGTTATTACATAAATGGAAGTTGTCAATCATTTGTGTGACGCAAGCTTTTGTGAAAATGAATGGTTACAAAGGTGGGGAACACCACTTTATACTTGTGTAACCTTTTTGCAAAATGTCCTTTCATCGATATGAGCAAGACTTTTGTGTTTCTGAATTTCAGACTCTTAATTTGAGAGTTTTGTACGATGGAATTAACTATGTTACAATATAAGGTAACAATCAATGTATAGAAGGACATCTTCAATGTATTGTTTGAAATTCAACTTCACTGAAAGAAGTTCTTTATCTTGTAATCAGTAGGTGGATTTGAATGTAGCTAAATGTTTCATGCAGAGTACACCATGGGATATTAAACCAGCTGTATGTTTTGAAAGCATTGTTTGGGCACATTTGTTGGCTGACTTGTTCTTTTTGCTTTTTTTCACCAGCATTATCAGAATTTCCAATTATTAGGGGCCTGGTGTTTGCTAAACAGCTTGTACCTGATCCTGAACCTCAGTCCAACAGCACTGGCAGAAAAGGGGAAAGAAAAAGACCCATTGGCTGCACTGCGAGTTCGTAACATTGCTGCCCGTATGAAGGAAGGAGCTGGATCCCCCAAGCTAGCTCCTGTTAAAGGGTCAGTAAGGAGTCCATAGATAAGTTTTTCAAAAATTATAGGTGTCTTAAGATCAGGGCTGGGAGATATAATACTGTCTAACATTCTTAACAAATCGATATTCATCTGTTGAATTAGGCAGCAGAAGACTTCGAGATTTACATTTTAAATCTATATTTTAGCCCAAACATCAGTTTCCCTTTGAGCTATATAGCACAAAAGAAACCTTTTGGTCCATCTTGTCCATGCCAGTCATCAAACACCGATTTGTTGTCCTGTTATCCATGATTTGCTGTAGTCTTACTTGGTATCACACTTAAAATGATCATCGAAATTCTACTTTGTTATGATGGTTCCTGCAGTGAGGTCTTGATACCACCATATACTGGGGGAAAACATTCTTCCTTTAAATCTTCTCTGAACCTGCTATCCTTTACCTTGCATCTCTGCCTGGTTATTTATCTCTCTGCTATCTGGAAAGGCTTCTTCCCATCTATACTCTCCATAATTTATAAAACTCCAGCAAGGCCTCTTGCAGCCTTCTCTGCTCAGATATGCCATTACACACATGTGGATGTTTTATTTTACCACCATATCACCCACGTTGCAAGTTTTAAAAAATCAACTACAAAGCAGTACTCATCAGATGCAGTGCAAGAACCCAGCTCTTTTTCTTTATTTTCTAATCACCCTGTTCAGAGCTGTCGTGATGCATGAACCCGAGTCTCCTGGCCTGGAACGTAGGGACACTATCACCATACTAACTTCTAAATAGAATCCCATGAGCCTCACTTTTTCTCTTGGTCTGGACCTGTTCTGGTTAACCCTTTTAGGGGCTTTTGTTTCACACACTGAACTCTTCCACTTTCAGTTCCAGCCTGAAATAATTATTCTACAGTAACAGTGTGCTTAATTGCATATGAAAATAATGAATTCTGAAACTGCAAAATAGAACAGATGGATGATTGGTTCCTTACAAAACACTACATTAGTCGCCATATATTTCCGATGCTGTTGGAGCAATATCTTGTTTTTTTAATCCCTGATTCTCAGTATCCAGTTTTCTAATTTCTCTACATAATTGCACCTGGTTTTCTTTTATTTCAGTTTTATCTTGTTGACTGTTTGGACTAAGTTTATATTTATCCCTAAAATAGAACAGCAGAGGGCCATGAGACATTGATGGAGCACTGGAACCCATTTGCCTCTGTTGTGAGATCCAACCCTTGCTTGTAGCTTGTGCAAAGAACTGGTATTCAGTTGTGGATAGAATCTGGCAGGGATTTGGGAGCATTACTCTGGGAATTGCAAGGAACAAACTGCAGAACATGGGCAACTAAAATGAATCTGACTCAGTTTCTGTCTGGGGTGATTTTGATTGGTTTGTTTGTGATGAGTGATTATACATGCTGCAAACCAATCCTTAGTGCAATTTTTTAATAAGGGTTGATATCAGTTTGGTCTTGTTTTCTGCTGCAGACATCAAGGATTTGGCGTCTTGTCTGTGGTTCTGGCAAATCATGCTATCAAACTGTTGACATCACTGTTTCAGGATCTGCAAGTAGAAGCCCTTTACAGGGTAAGTGGAGCCCCTGTGCATAGTATGGTGAATTATTTGTGAAGAAACCACTTATCTTTTCTGAAGTCTTGAAAGTAACATTTATTATTTTGTATTCACTGGTGGTTGAGGGTAAAATTGATTTAAAGGTGGAATATTATGCAGTTTCAATGTATAAAGGATTGTGTGTAAATCATAAGTACATAGACTTACATTGATATCCTGCCTATGTCCCAAATTACATAGAATCATAGAATCCCTACAGTATGGAAACAGGCCCTTCGGCCCAACAAGCCCACACCAAACCTCAGAGCATCCCACCCAGACCCATCCCCCTATTACCCACCTAATCTACACATCCCTAAACACTATGGGCAATTTAGCATGGCCAATTTTACCTAACCTGTACATCTTTGGACTGTGGGAGGAAACTGGAGCACCTAGGGGAAACCCATGCAGACACGGGGAGAATGTGCAAACTCCACACACGGTCGCCCGAGGGTGGAATCAAACCCAGGTTGCTGACACAGTGAGGCAGCAGAGCTAACCACTGAGCCACGTGCCGCCCCTGCAACCAATGAAATACGCTATTGCAATATAAGTTATGAGCCAGCCAGTTTACACACAGCTCACTCCCAGATATTGACCAGATGATGTTTTACTTACGGTCAGTGGATAAATATCGGGCGTGACATCTGAGAGAACTCTCTCTTCAGCTGTTGGATAAATATTGCTATTGTTAAACTAATCTTCTGAAAGTCATCATAATGGTTAATCTTTAATTTCATCAGGGCTGGAGAGGTGATGGACCACCTGCAGAGCTAAATATCATGGCACAGAGCTCATCTATTCAACGTGTGCAGAGACTGATTGAATCTGTTCCCCTCACCAACTTGCTCTTCACATTGTTGTCAACATCGTACAGAAAGGTAATCACTTGTACCACAGAATCAAAATGCAAAATGAATAAAATTGCTCACTGTGCCTGCGCTGTCTCTTTGATAAAGCAATCCAGAATTCATCAGTGACCACGCTCCTCTTCTCAGTCCTGTGTTGTTCTAAGCCAATCCATTTGGCCAGCTCTGTCCTCTTAATGCTACATCAATCCAAAATTAACCCCACTCTATAGCTCTCTCCAAAATGGTTTACACTAATTCTTAGCTAATCCCACTGTCCACCCATCTTTCCCTAATCACAATCAATCTCCTATGAAACCCACTGCAATAGTCCTCCTACAAACCATGTATGAATTCAAAACTAATCCTGCTATCTGCTTTTCCTGTGAGCCTTGTGTTAAGTGAAAACTTAATATCAAAGCCATTCTCTCTCCCTGTATCAATTTAGGACTAATCCTATTGCATTGCTTGCATTACACAGCCCTGTATCAATCCAAAACTAATCTATCTTCTCATCCTTCTCCATGTAGTTCCCTGTTCATTGGGAACCCAAGATCACGAGATATAATAGTCGGTCACTTGCAATGTTTTTAAGTTCCAATAGTCCGCTGAGTTCCAGCCTCTCCCTTCATTATCTGAGTTGGTTGACTGGAGGAAATAGTCACTCTCTGTTTACTGTCAAAACTCTTTCAAATATTGAAATTCTGTACATCTGTCTACTTCAGTAAAAATTGTCCCAGTCACAAGTGTCTCATTGTTCTTACTGGACAGTCTCTGCGGAGAGCCCCTGTCTGTTGTTGAGTGTTCGCTTGATTTTTTTTTTCTAGAAGCAGAATTGTTTTTAATTCTTTGTCCCTTTCTTTCCATAGGCTTGTGTTCTTCAACGCCAACGGAAGGGCTCTGTGAGTAGTGATGTCAGTGCGTCCACTGATTCAAACACCTACTATGAAGATGATTTCAGCAGCACTGAAGAAGACAGTAGTCAAGGTAATAAAAAATAAGCCTTAGGGTTTATGTACAATTCTAGTGATGGATGAAAGTTCATTGTAGTGAAACAGAAGATAGTTAATCTAGTGGATTGCCTGAGATGCTGGGCAGATTTGAGGTAAAGTAGCAGTTTTGCAATAGAATTCTAAATTCATTTCTGGTTAATGATTTAGAAATCATCTTAGTGACCTTTCTATCCAGTGGACTGGTGTGTGACTGTCTGGTGACATCATCAGTCTGAGTATATAAATAAGCTAGGGCTGTTTTACTTTGAGAAAAGCAAAGTTAACAAATCTGATAATGTTGTTCAAAATTTGTGGAAATAAATCAGAGAAAGTGAGAAGTAAGTTATTTCTGTTGTTCAATGAATTAGTTGATGGAGGTGATAACGCATCATCAATGGGATAAGGAAAAGGTTATGATTTTCTTTAACGCAGGAGACAGTTTGGGTGTGGAATTTCACAACACCGCTGATGGTGTAAAAATAATTCATTCACTTATAAAATGGATAAATATTTAAAAAATAAATATAAATTGGTATGTAGAAATTGTACACCTTCTGGGAGCTGGTAAAGCATGATGGGCAGGATGATTCCCTTCTATAAAAGTCTGCAATTCTATTTTGATATAACAACGTGTAGAGCTGGGTGAACACAGCAGGCCAAGCAGCATCAGAGGAGCAGGAAAGCTGACGTTTCGGGTCTGAAGAAGGGTCC